GCCCTTGTGGAAGGCTTCCTTTTATTTTAAGTGTGATTTTTTTCTTCCATTTTCATCTCCTTTTGGAGCTTTGCTTTAAAAATCTTCACTTCTAAATAGGAGTAGTCAGGAGTTCTTAGTGCCACCCTTTACTCTGTGGAGATGGTTGTTTTTGTCTAAAGAACATCTTACTGCTGAAGACAGATGAGTAGCTTTTTCTTGTAATGGTGCTAACAAAGAGAAACAGTTTGGAGTCTCACCTGTTGCCACAGACTTAGTATTGATTAACAGTAAGAGTGTGAAGTTTTGCAGATGCCAGGGCTTGGGAGTGGTCGTTGGTTCTCGTGAGGGAAGATGCCTGTGTGTAACGCGGTCTTAAGAGCACATTGCACCTGAAGGAGGATTTGATTTTATTGTTTGTGTTGCTCTCTTGACAGCTTTTCTTTAGAGCGTCCCATAGAAGAGAGACTAGGATTTAAAGGCTGGTGCCAGAAAGCAAAAGCTAATATGAAAAGAATCCAAGTCCCTGTCCAGTCTGTGAGAATCTGCAACAGTTCACGGACAAGGGATAAAGCAATTAAGGCAATGTCAGGGTTATATACCGGAATGTATTTCAGCCCATGAAATTTTGGTTTGAGGAAAAATGTGGGAGAGTTATTTGAATTCTTGGAGGTTGAGCTTGAGAAAACCACTGGAAATGGTAGGAAGAAATTAACTTCCTTTTACCTCTTTTTCCTTCCTAAGATGTAAAAGCATAAAAATCTGAGGTTCTGAGCCTGTCTGGCCACACTTTTCTGGTACCGTCTTCTTTTCTATGACTTGCTCTTAGATGTTCTAAGTAGTTTGTGCTCCCAGTGGGAGCACTCGGCTAACATAGGTGTCTACAAGACCTCCTCCCCATAGTAGACTCTCAGATGAAATCACTCGGTGGATTATGTAAATCTCTCAACATACACATTAATACACTAATGACCTTGACCTTTTCCTTCTGCAGTCTTAATCAATTCTGCTTTCAAAGGAGAAAGCATTTGTAAGTTAAAAATATATGTTCAATTGTGTTGAATTTTTAAATTTTTCTCTTTCAAACTAAAACCAAGAGAGTATTTTTAAGAACTGGTCGGGGGGAAGAGGGGGCATGAACAGGTAAACCAACCTGCCTGACCTGCTTTCTTTTTTTTAAGAACTCAGTAATATGATCATTTTGTAATAAATAACCGAGCTCTGCACCCTTTAGTCGGGGGGAAGAGGGGGCATGAACAGGTAAACCAACCTGCCTGACCTGCTTTCTTTTTTTTTAAGAACTCAGTAATATGATCATTTTGTAATAAATAACCGAGCTCTGCACCCTTTGGGACATTCTGGTTCTCTCTTTCTTTACTTGTGGCTACTTTGTTCAGAACGCATAGGCAGTGCCATTGCAGCCAAAGAAACCTGATCAAATTTCCTTCCTTCCCATCTTATTTGTATTCTGTGTGAAAAGCCCAAGCAGTTGTTTTAAACAAGTGTGGGCACTCGTTAAAGTTTAAACTGGTAGTGAGATCCATCCAGAATGAAGTGTTTCTGACACTCTGCTGCTCCTGGCCTAGGGTACTAGAGTATTAGACCACAGAAGCAGCCAATTTTGTAGTGTCTTTTAATACACGAAATTGTATTAACATCAACATGGATACAGATGGATGCACTGCAATAAACTGTAACCACTTGAGAAAAGCCTTTATTGACTCTCAAGTAAATAATGCACATTTTAAAGGATCTAAATATGCATTTACATAATGTACTATAATTTTTTATTGTGTCAACTACTCACACACACACATTCATAAGAGATGTTTTTCTTCATCAAAAATTTGGAGTCATACCATTCTTTGTGCACTCTATTAGCATCACGCCAAATTCATAATGGTAGTTTCTCTACTATGGGGCCTGATCTGGCCATCTCAAAGTACATTTAATGAATTTTACTGTTTGATTGATTTAACATCAGTGACTCTTTCTAAAATGATTTGAGACAACTTAGATAAAAACTTAGGTACGCTAAAAACATCAAATCCAAGGTAAAGAGAGAAAACAAGAAATATGAAAGAAGAAAAACAAAGTTAGGTGTGGATGAAATCTTAACTCTGAGCTTCAGTGGGTCTCATTGTCCATTAGAAAAGGAATAGCGGGTTATGCAGAAAAACAGCATATGTTTAATAATAATTAACAGATCTTTGTGATGTCTGTAACATAATTATTTTCTGTTTGAGGAAATTAAAGTTCAGGATCTTGAATGATTTGTATCCAGCTCCACGGTGAACTGATGACTGAACCAGAGAAAGTCCTTAGCATGAAAAAGTAGGGGTTGTAAAGGATGACCCTTTAAAATGCAGACTCTGCAGATCTACTTTGAAACTACAGGCTAAATGATTTCCTGGTATTAATTAAGAATTAATTGATCCTTATAAATCAGTCATCATAGAATTAATTCTGTATAGTACCGTATGCACTTAGGTTTGTTTTAAAATAAACTCCATGCCAAAAGGAAAAGGTGAATAAATTGTTTTCAATAAAATATAATAAAGAAACTAAGTTCTGAATTTAAGTTACTAATGATTTTCTTTTTGATATTTAACAATCACAACAAAATGAGGGCAAGGATGTTCATTAATAATTAATGGGGAGATTCTGTGGTCCTGCTGAACTATTTTTTCTATCAAGTTTCTTTAACTTTTATCTGCCTGATCTTGCTCAAGTGCATTTTTTTCATGGGCAGCATTCTCTGTTGGCCATCATGATTTTATAATCTAACAATCACTCATCACTTTCCCCTGAGCCTCTGAAGGCAGTGCCACTTTATCATCAAGGTCAGCCTCCCAGGGGCTCTTGACAGAGGAGTTGCCACCTTTGTGTTTGACATGCTGCAAAAGTTGAGTGTATCATTTTGTTAGGCTCAGTACTAACATCCTAGTTTGGAAAATACCACATTCCATCCTTAACTAGAAACTACTTGGTCAAATGCAAGTTACTGGGTCAAATATTCTTGCTACCAGCAAGGACAACTATACCATATTAGATGAAAAAAATTCCTTTGGTTCTTTAAAGCCAATAGCAGAATTTCCAGATTAAGAGATGACCAGATTCATTTAACTTTTTAGCTTGTGGGTTTCAGCTCAGAGACAATAATGGATTCCAAGGTTTATCACTCGTTGTATGAATTAAGTTTCACCAATTTTTCTACAAGCTCTGTGGTTCTTTGCTAGGTGGAGAGGTTTTGCCAGGTTTTGTTTCTGGCAAGTTTTATTCTACATTTATTTATTGAGTACCAGACTTGGTTTGGGGATATGACAGTGAACAATTAAGCAGATGGAAAGCTATTTACTAAGATGAGGAAGGCTGAGAGAAGAGTAAATTTGATAAAGGAAGGTGATGAAAATTCTAGTTGGACTAGGTTATCATCAAGATGTCCTCAATTGTATGATCAAGGGCAAAACTTTATCTGTTTTGGCTCAACTTTGTCTCTTGAGCCCATAGTAGTCTTTGAATATTTATTGGATAGATTAAAGGTTGCATGAAAGAAAGCGTTTTATCAGGTCTTCTGCAAGACATGGACTGGACTGTTGCTTCTTCTCCAAACCCCCATTTCTGCTCTTTAAAAACTATAGATGCCACTCTGAATCATGCAGTCCTAGGCATTTCAATCATTAGTCAGAAAGAGCCCCAGTCATAAGGAGGTCCCAGTAGTGAACACAGAACCCATGCTGAGCGAGCATTCTTCTATACAGCCCTTAGCCAAGCCAGTGGGACAGTGACAGGAAGGGTAGCCTGACTTACTTGAGTTTCTCTTCAGTATTATGAGTCATTCTTGGTGTTAGAAACGTCATATTCTCAAAAAATATGGGCATTCCTGTGTTTTCTCTTTGCAGGGGCTCCGTGAGTGTAAAGGAGCAAAAAAACTTACTTGAGTTTCTCTTCAGTATTATGAGTCATTCTTGGTGTTAGAAACGTCATATTCTCCAAAAATATGGGCATTCCTGTGTTTTCTCTTTGCAGGGGCTCCGTGAGTTTAAAGGAGCAAAAAGTAAAGGAAAAATAAATACTTTTATCTCCTTTAATTTGGGAGAGGTTTCTCAGGCCCTTGTTGAGAATTGACTTGGTTTGACTGTCTTCAACTTACAACGTGCTGCTTTTATCCCCCAGCCAGTTTTATCAATCATCCTTCCATTTCAAGGGCAAAAGTTCTCCTAAAAAATTATTAAGCACCTCACATAAGTTTTTAATCTAACATAATCTTCTTCTTGTATAAATGAAATTTATCAAGATTCAAATGTAAGGGAGTAGTAGTTGCCTGAGTCTTTCACCAGTTTTTATGGGCAGATGGCCAACATTTTAACAGGAGTCACTGCCTGCTCAGGCTGAGTTCCCCTCCTCCAACATTTATGCATTTCTGAGTTTGGCTTTGAAATGGCATCTAAAGGCGACATAAACCTTCCGTGTAAAGTGAGGCATCCAAATTGCATGGGTTCATTAAGTGATCATTTACTACATACTTCAAAAAAATTTCATCCTAAATTAGTCCCTAGAAATTTCCTTGAAAGGGGTATAAGAGCTTTAACAATGAATTATTGTCTATGGATAGCTCAGCATGAAAAGGGATCCATATGTGCAAACTAGACTTTGTCATATGTAATGTCAGTTAAATCAGGTCTAATCTACCAAATACATTTTTTATTGCTTGCTTCATTAAAAAGGCTCTTAAGGTAATGAATAATCTTCAGCTTCACCAAGGATTATTAATGCCTTTATAACTCATGTCCACTGAAAATAGAAAGACAGCTTGAAACTCTACCCTAACCTAACCTCCATGTTTGTCTTAGAGCCTTAAGGAAGAAAGTCTGTCAGACCTATCCAGTGTTACATTCAGTCACATGAGCAATACTATGAATTGGGCCAGGAGAAAAAAAATAAAATAGGAAGTTGAATCAGGTTCAGCTGTGGCCATGCAAGGCTTTCTCTTCATAACTCTGATGTTTTCTTTCCTGCAGCAAGTCCGCATGCAACACCATCGACTCTTCATTTCCCAACATCACCCATTATCCAGCAGCCTGGGCCTTACTTCTCACACCCAGCCATCCGCTATCACCCTCAGGAGACGCTGAAAGAGTTTGTCCAACTTGTCTGCCCTGATGCTGGTCAGCAGGCTGGACAGGTGGGGTTCCTCAATGTAAGGAAACCTCTTTTTTTCAATTACTTTAGAAATGTTAGCAGAATGTAAAAATAACAAGGGGAGACCTTATGACCATGTGACATTGTGCTCTAATGTTGTGCTGAATGACTACAGGCAAATGTCATATTTATTCTAGATTGTGGGAAAGTTAACTTGCTCTAAGAGTGATTGGCCAGGGTTTAAAAACAGTATTTGTGTTAAGTTTGCAACTGTCAAGTTTATGGATATAAATCATCTCAAGGGTGAACTATATAACCTTCTAAATTCTGTGGGCTGATAATTCCACCTCACGCGTTCTAACCCTAGGGCTCATACAGTTAACAAAATAGAAAGAGCAAATAATTTTAAATAATGATTTGAAGTGGTAGAGAGAGGTAGGGGAATGAGAGAGACAGATGTTTCAGATCAACTAAGTTGATATTTTTTAAAAATATAGTCTTCTAACACTTTAGATCAAGTTGACCAGTACTTGAACTTAAGATGCTAAAAGTACAGTTTATTATGGTTTGTTATTTCTGCAAGTAGTTATCTTTCCTAGTTATCTTTGTATAAAGCTAAACAGTATTCAGTGACTTAAGTGAATGTTTTTCCCCTCAAATAAACCAAATAATTACAATTTGATATAACATTCTAAATGTAAAAATTATTTTTAAAAATCACAAATTTTGTTTCAAATATAGAACTCAGTGTTTACAATGGGTAGCTATATCTCAAAGCCAAGGATAATAATAATAAATAATGACCAACATAAAGCCAACTTTGGTTTTTCTTTTCTCCTAATAATTGTGCATGAAGCCACAGATTAGCCATAATTATTATTGCCTAATTTAGGATATTATGTCACACTGTCCTATCACTGATTTTCTTCACTTGCAGAAATACCTGATTCTGCATATCTGAGCCAGAATAGGCAGCTTTGACTAATGTCTGGTGATGTGTTAGCAGATACATTTCTGTCTAGACAACAAATCAATATGGTGCCTTTTTTCTTTTTGCTTGTGTATTCATTTGCTTGGCTTATTCTGAAGCATTCACTTATGGACTTTCAGCCCACTCAGAAATAACACACAAGCAAGTTTGCTGGCAAGAAAGCACAGCATTCTGATTGTCAGACAAGATAGTCTTTGAGGAACAGTGCTAAATATATAAGCGAATGTTGTTGATAGGGGAATGAAACTGCCTCTGCAGAATTATTAAGCTTAAACTTTAAAGCCTGGGACAGCAGGAACAAGATAGTCTTTGAGGAACAGTGCTAAATATATAAGCGAATGTTGTTGATAGGGGAATGAGACTGCCTCTGCAGAATTATTAAGCTTAAACTTTAAAGCCTGGGACAGCAGGGTCTCCTTCAACTGAATTTTGATTTGGGCCTAGAGCCTAAATATGAGCTGTTATTGTTGGTTGAATGGTGTCACTGAAGCCTGGAAATCCAGTCAAAAAGACTACTTGGGAAACAGTGAAAAAACTGAGCTGATCACCAGCATCAAGCATGGACTTCTGAATTTCTAACTTTTCAAGAAGTCTGACATTATCCTGTAAAACTGTCAAATGCCCAGTTTTGCATTTTGATCAGAATTTTATAGGGCTTAAAGCAGGTCTCTTCATGGAACTATTTTGAAAAGCTTGAAAATAAAAATGGATTTTATTGCTCTCTTCAGAGGGAAACTTTTTTGTTGTTGTTGAAGAGCTGTTATTTGGTTGTTTTAACATCAGGCAGCCAAATAAATATGACTCTTATGGCATATGCTTATATAATTTAAATCAAAATTAGAAGTGATATTTTTCCCTAGCAGAATTCTGACAGCTGAATTCTAAAGTTTCTATGCCTGATGTTATACAATATGTGAAAGAAATTTTTTTATGTTCACTTAACACATTTATTAAATGTTATATAATATCAACTCTGAAGAGTGAAAATAAAATATTTTTTATCTCAAATGCACATTTAGGAAACTTTATTATGTCTATGTAAATAGAAATAGTAGGATGATATCACAGTCTTTACAACACTTAGAAATTAAATAAATGTTTAATAAACTTGCAAATGATGATGAAGGTAGCAATTAATACAGAACTGAAACAGTCCAAGCAAAAGTTGGTTGCTTAGTGGACAAATCCAGAGTGATCATTGGTAGGTCATTTTATGGAACCAGATGCAAAGAAAAACAATGTAGTTAGTTCAAGAGATAGGTTTAAGATGCATTGAGCATATGTGCCTCAGTGTGCTATTGTGGGATGCCTTAAGAACAGAACCCAACAATTCTTCATCCATATGGACTTACAGAAGAATTCAAGCAGCTAGAATGCTTAGTAATTTACATAACAGGTGCCTAATGAATCTTTTCTTTTCAGATGCAGCTAATGGTTGATGTCTGTTTCTTTTTTTTTTTTTCCCTCCGTGTTTGTGTTTTGTTTTCTTCCCACCCTCGCAGCCCAATGGGAGCAGCCAAGGCAAGGTGCACAACCCATTCCTTCCCACCCCAATGTTGCCACCGCCGCCGCCACCACCGATGGCCAGGCCTGTGCCTCTGCCGGTGCCAGACACAAAGCCTCCGACCACATCAACAGAAGGAGGTGCAGCTTCCCCCACCTCACCAAGTAAGTATAGCTGAGACAAGGCGCCGGTCACTGATAAAGCTCTATGCACTTGAATTCACACCTATGCTTTGTCTCTCACCGTACAGGCTCTAGCCATAGGCACAGGTCCCCAGTGATGGTTTTAGCATAAGTTTGCAGAGCCAAGGCCAGAATCATAGTGAACACCACTCTCAGGTACTATCAGTACGCTAGATGTGAAAATGACTAGGTGTTTGGGTGGATAAGGTGGTGTAACTACATGGCCAGGACTAAAATCAAGATATGAACTATTAAATTTTGTGTTTTAGTGGCTTTGAATGCTATCCCCATGATCATCAAACATTGTCTACTTGCATGAATTCTTATTAGCAAAATGTTCCTCATTCTTCTGTATATTCCTGCCTTCCAGGAACTTGTAGTCCAAGAGAAATGCTCTAGAGGAGACATAAAAGTTATATACTTCATACGTCAAATAGGAAAAAAAAAGTTTAGATCAAAGTATCAATTTAAAGGTGTGTACATTGAACATTTGCCAAGAGTAAAAACCTGGCAGAAGATCAGAGCTAGTAGCCATAGCAATTGCATAGCTAGGCTTGGCAGGGGGAGGAGATAGAGGGTAGGACTGGATGAAAAGAGAAAAGAATGCTTGGCTCTTCTCTGATCAGTCTTGGAAATTTGATCAGAGAATATAAGAGGATTTCAAAACCTTTTTAGATGATGGGAATGATTATTTGGTGAACTAGAGAGAGAAAATTTCTCTAGGTATTTCCTGATATTTTAGAGATGGTGAGAGGGTAGAAATAGCTCAGACATACAAATGTGGCTATTAGTGCATGGAATAATGACAAAACAAGTGACGGCTGGAGTTCCCAGGTGATGGGTGGCCCAGACTTGACAGATGGTGTGATGAGCACCTTTCCTAAAGTTTTAGAGAGGGATGAAAGTGTAGGAAGAGATGAGAACTGTGGCAGTGCCCCTAAGGAGAGCCTTCAAGGGGGTCTTCAAAGGAGGTGAGACTGGGGGCAAGCAATCTACTGAGGAGAACATAAGACAACAGACTAGGAAGGAAGTGTGAAGGTCAGGAGCTTGAACAGCAGTAAAAAGAATTGGATGAAAGGGAGCAGGGGGAGAGGTGTTTTACAGACATAAGCATTGGGATTGGGCAGTCATGTAGATGAGTATAGTAAATGAAGATTTGGGGCCTCTCAGCTTCCTTGAATCATAATGGTATTGGAAAAAAGAGGGAAAGAGTCAAAGAGAAAAGACGGACCTCTGTACCATGTTACTGGATTGATTCTGAGAACACTGAATCCAAAATGTCTAGAGTCCCTCGTAGACATGTATCTGAGAGTGAGTTTTGGGTGACCTAGTATTTACGCATTTTGGTAATACATGCAGAAACGAGTGGCACTGTGCACGGACTCTGTATCTATAGCAAAAAGATTGAGGGTCCAGGAGCAGTTTTGGAGAGACCTGCTTCTCTTGGTAAGAGGTGGTTCAACACTTGTCAACAAAGGAGAAAACTCTGAGTGGCCAACGACACAGGAAGCAAGCTGGGTTCGGCCTATGGATATTGGAAGTTCAGCTTAGCATGGTACTATCCTGCTTATTGTGTATATATGTAACACCTTTGAACTAGTCAAAGAAGTACCTGTCCCCAAGCTCAGACTTAAGTCTGTTCACTGAGGGCAACGACACAGGAAGCAAGCTGGGTTCGGCCTATGGATATTGGAAGTTCAGCTTAGCATGGTCCTATCCTGCTTATTGTGTATATATGTAACACCTTTGAACTAGTCAAAGAAGTACCTGTCCCCAAGCTCAGACTTAAGTCTGTTCACTGAGGACATTGGCTTACAGATTGGCAGCCACATGCTTGTTGAGCCATGCACATGCCTCTGCATCCCATTTTTCTGCCCCTCTTCTCCCTGTCTGTACAGGACATTGCCACAGTCCTTTAAAAGCCTGTAGTAACATACCACCTATTCTATGTAAAGATAACTCCCCTCCACTGTCAGTGTCTCATGCCTCATCGTGAGCTTTCCAGTAACGAGGATGAGGCTCGGCTGGGCCCTGTGGAAAAGTGGCAATAGTAATTTGTGACTATTAAAGTCAAAGGATAGGGGCTCCAATGCCCACTTTCATCTTACCAGTTGTGTTTCTTTGAATTAGTTTCCTCATCTGTAACATGTAGATGATAATATCCACCTGGCAAGGTTGGGTGATATCAACTCTGATAAGCACCGCCACCAAATAAATTGAAGTATTTTATTATCTGCCAAAACTCTTACCTAGTGAGAGGCTCCAGGCCTGGGTGATAGTGAAATGTGTCTATAGGACATGGAGAAGCTACTCAACCCCTAACTCAGGTTGAGGCCTTTGGGTCCATAGTTCTGGACTCCACTCCATGGACCGAACCAAGTGCTTTGTATAAGGAAATACCTGTCATCCTCAAGCATTTAGTCAACACTATGGGAAGAAGTGTAGAAGGAGTCTTGACAGATCCAACTCATATGGTTGCATGTTGATTAGAAAAGGGTTCAAAGGTTTGGGGGGAAAGAAGAATACGAGGAGAGAGAGGCCCAGCGTGTGATATAGGCCCATACTTTTTAATCGTGGGATTCTAGGGATGTAGACAAAACAAACAAAATATTCTATTGATTGCATAGAAAGGTTTTTCTATCTTCATTTTAGCCCTTGTTGCTGGGCTTTTCTAGAGTGTGCTAATTACAAAGTAATATGTTATTTCATGGAAATATATTGCTTACCACTTTCTGCTTTATTAATAAGACAGTGATAGGCTGAGAGAGCTATAATTTATAGCATAAGAGAAGACTTTCAAGTGAAAAATCTTAAAGTCCACTGGTTTGCATTGGGAGGGAATTTAAGGGCCCCACCAAAAAAAGATAAAAATCCTTGCCCATGCCCTGACTTCTGAACCAATTGATAAATAAAATATAAGAAAAAATCAGATGGAAGACAGAATATCACCTTTATTATTAGAGAATTTGTTTAGAACTGTGGGTAAATGGGCTTCCTAATACTGAACACCCACATTCCACTGACCTGTCTACCCAGTTGCTGGCAGAGCCAGACCACCGCAGGCCTCCCTACGTGGGGTCTGCCCACCCATGTATAGCTGGTGGCATGGAGGTATGGGTGGCTGTGCACTTCCTGCCAGCACTGTCTCCCTACGAGGAAGAGGTGGGATGAGTCACATCCAGTTTCTGTGTCCAAACCTCTCTATCTAGAGAGTAGAAAGTGAGGGAGTAGAGAGGAGCCGAGAGTGTGTGGAAGCGAGTGGGATGAGTCACATCCAGTTTCTGTGTCCAAACCTCTCTATCTAGAGAGTAGAAAGTGAGGAGCCGAGAGTGTGTGGAAGCGAGTAAGGGAAGGTAGTAGCCTCAGGAGGGAAGTAGACTTCACCTTCTTTTGTTCATTTATTCCGCCTTTATATATTGACCACCTCCGTGTGCCAGGGACTGTGTTAGCTTCTTGGGACACAGAGATAATTAATCCTTGCTTGAGGAGTGGGGATTTATTGAGGGATTCAGCTAGGAAATAGGCAGTTTACATAGGACAGTCCTGGGATGAAGGCTTGTGTAGGTGGAAGAGGCGGGAGGGAGTTTGGTCCAGTGTGGGGCTTCAAGTGAAGAGTTTTTGAAGGGGGTGACTTCTAAGCTATTTAGTAGGGGTAACATTTTAAGAGATTGTAGACTTTTCTTCAGAAACCATTTGGGGGACCTAACATTCGATTACATCTGGACAAAAATTTAGGGCAAAACTATAATTTCATAAATCATGTGCTTTCTTAGAAATTAAAACCACAGGATGGTTGGATCCTGTTTATCTTTGTCAGTTTATCAGAACTCAACTTTAGCAAGAAGAAACACCATGACAGGGTATTAAGTACAGATGTTCAACATCACAACAGAATGTCCAAAATTGAGGAATATTTCAAAAACACTAATTGTATAACCTAGGATAGCCTTTTCTATTTAGGCGTTAGAGATGACTCGTAATAAAATGAGATTTTAAAAATAAAAATAGGGAAGTATGCCAAGTATCTCTATATTACCAACTTTTCTGGGCCTCNGTAGGTGGAAGAGGCGGGAGGGAGTTTGGTCCAGTGTGGGGCTTCAAGTGAAGAGTTTTTGGAGGGGGTGACTTCTAAGCTATTTAGTAGGGGTAACATTTTAAGAGATTGTAGACTTTTCTTCAGAAACCATTTGGGGGACCCTGTAGGTGGAAGAGGCGGGAGGGAGTTTGGTCCAGTGTGGGGCTTCAAGTGAAGAGTTTTTGAAGGGGGTGACTTCTAAGCTATTTAGTAGGGGTAACATTTTAAGAGATTGTAGACTTTTCTTCAGAAACCATTTGGGGGACCCAACATTCGATTACATCTGGACAAAAATTTAGGGCAAAACTATAATTTCATAAATCATGTGCTTTCTTAGAAATTAAAACCACAGGATGGTTGGATCCTGTTTATCTTTGTCAGTTTATCAGAACTCAACTTTAGCAAGAAGAAACACCATGACAGGGTATTAAGTACAGATGTTCAACATCACAACAGAATGTCCAAAATTGAGGAATATTTCAAAAACACTAATTGTATAACCTAGGATAGCCTTTTCTATTTAGGCGTTAGAGATGACTCGTAATAAAATGAGATTTTAAAAATAAAAATAGGGAAGTATGCCAAGTATCTCTATATTACCAACTTTTCTGGGCCTCAACTCCTTTATCTGCTAATGCGAGTAACAAAACTGTCCATCCACTCTCATAGGCAGATTGTTGGGACATCCTGGTGTGACAGATGTACTATGCTGTGTCGTAGATAGTTAAAAGTCCAAGGCATCATTTTAAATATCCTCTTATAATGAAATACAAATGGATGCCAGCCTAGAGCAGAGTATGTATTTTTTAGCTAATCAGTTGCCTCTGGCACTAACACTAAACTCTGCAGCTGTGGCCAGAAAAACAGCGATAAGGCAGATCTGGGGAAAAGAAAGAAAAAATGCCTG